TCCCTTTCTGTGTTGTCTCTCACTTGCTCTAGCTATGAATCATTTGATCTGGGGTTGGGCAGGACTCTCCCTTTCCCTTGGTAAATATGGCACTGTGTGTGCCCTTTCTGCACGTTCTAGGTTTCTCCGCCCCAGCCTCATGTCCTTGCCCTCGCTGTTCTCAGTACCAGGTATACCCAGGTATTCTCATGTTATGTTTGTTTCATAACTGCTTTCTAGACAAAGGCAGTAGTGACTTTTCCTTTCTGTAGTTCCTTTCAGTTTTGCTTTTCATGTGACCTTTCACTGATTTGTATTGATTTTTGTTATTTTACATTATTAATGCTATTCTTTCTCCTAAATAACAAACTTGATTTGAGCAGATACTTGATCTTTGCATTTTGTTTGTGTTTTTCTGTGCATCTGCCAGGTGCTTAGTGTAGTGCTGGACATGTAGCAGGCTCTTGTAGAGTTGGTTTACAAATTGCCAACAACTTTTCAATATGCTAGTGCACACTCAGTAAAAAGGTGGATGTGGGAGTAGTGGGAGTAGTTGAAATCTTTGCTGAGCACAGTCTTACATGCAGTGGCAACCCTTTTCAACCTTCAGGTAGGGTGGTGTGAAGAAGCAACTTCATCTTTTTTCCTATTGTAGTCCACTGTGTTTTTTATTCTAAGATGCTGGCTTTTGGAAGAAGAGAATGGCTCATTTTCCTAACTCTGTTGGGGGATGTGATGAGCATTTTATAGGTCATTGTTTCTCTTCTTGCTAAAGGACTCTGCTATCTCAAGTTTAACCTTTTCCATTGTAATTAGAGATCCATTAATCATATGTTTTTTAGATGTTTCTGTGTGTTAAATTAATGAAATTTCTGGGGAAATTCACACAGCTTCAAGCCCATGTTCCATTTAATTCAAATGCCTGTTCTATGCTGAGTTGCTTTAAATGTTGGAGAGAGATGAATAGCATTTCAGCCCTGTTTTGTAGTTATTGAAGTTTAGTTAAGGAGAAATTACATAAACAATTAAAATTATACAAAGAAAAGGAAATTAGTATTTTCTTTCTTATAGAGCTCAAAAAGTGAAGAAAATGTGTACTTTGAATCTTATTTTAATTATTTACCATGTTTAACGTGAATGTCCTTTAAACCCCGGGGTTTTTTTGTTTGTCTTGTTTTGTTTTTTGATAGATGTGAGTTTTGCTATTTGGTGTGTCATCTTGCAAGATTTCAGCCCTTTTAGGTTAATCAGGTTTGTACTTGTAACCTCCCAAACTGATAATTTGGAAAATGTAAGCCGATAATTTAAAAACTGCAATTATATGACTTTTTTTCATGTCATTAGGTAACTGCTTAGAAAACTGCATAGCCCACCAACATCTGATGAAATTAGTGAATAAGCAAATCAGCCATGTCTTACACTCCAGGAATTGGTGGGGACCCTGCCCAGCTGGCCCAGCGCATCTCATCCAACATCCAGAAGATCACACAATGCTGTGAGTTGGGCTTTCAATTGACTTTGCTGTTTATTTCACTGTTTTAACTGAACTTGGTGTAGATTTGTCAAAGGACAACTCTGGTGTTTAAGAGAAGGAGTAACTCTCAAAACAAATTTTAAAAGGCTTTAGAATGAATATAAGAAGATTATATTAGAAGAGATAACACTTAATGCACATTTCTGTGGTGTGTATGGTCAGGCACTTGATATATTACAAGTTGAACATACCTAATCTAAAACCACAAAATCCAAAGTCCCAAAATTTTTGAGTGCCAACATGATAACTGGAATTGGAAAAACCTACAACTGACTTTATATGACAGATCATAATCAAACACTGCAGTACAAAAATATTGTATAAAATTACATTCAGGCAATGTGTGTAAGGTATCTATGAACCATAAATGAAGTTTGTGTTTAGAAGTTTCATTCCTAAGCTCTCTCATTGTGTATATATAAACATTTCAAAATCTCCCCAAATATACCCCAAATTCAAAACACTTACTTTTATAAAACCCAATTATTTAATTAATTTTATATATGTATTATTATTCTTCAGTTTGACGAAAGAAAGAGAGAGAGAGGGAGCGGGTGTGTGTGGAGGGAGAGATTTCACAGGTCCAGGTCCAGGACTTGAACCATGGTCAGCCATGTGGGAGTCCAGCACCTTAACCACCATGCCACGGGCTGGCTCCTCTAAACAATTATTATCCCAAGCATTTTGGGTAAGGGATACTCAACCTACCTTTCATTAATTAAGTAAAGACTTACAAGGGTACTAGATACTTACATTTGCTTTAAAACCATTTGGTTCTAGATGAGATGATGCAATTTGACTTAATTCCATAGGTTTGGAGCTAGAGGAACGCTGCCAGAAGCTTAAGAGACATATGTTTATTCAAAATAAAGTGAGATTGTATATGAACTAAGTTAAGTTTGTACAGGACAGAAACATGGTACATTATTAGGGAGCAGGGAAGACTAAGGAAACATTTTAATCTATTATAGCAGATGTTATAGACAATAATGACCTGGATTCCTCACAAATTATCCTTTGCTACACTTGTCAAAGACAGAATGCCAGTAAACTGTTACAATATGGCATTTCCCTAGAAGTTATTTCTCTTCCATGTATATATGTGTGTGTATATATATATATATATAGGCGTATGCATAGATATGTATAAATTTTATGTGTGTGTGTATAAATTTAAAAAATTATTGTACCAGATTTGAATGTATAGTGTGTTTTGTTTATTTGTTTCTAAATCACTGGTAATCTCACACCATGGATTACTCTCGTACTCTGTTTGGCCTTCTGGTACCTGAATTCTTTCGGAATACATTAGTACTGTTTCATTCAGCTTACTTCTTTAAGGCTACTGTTTTTACCAGAAAGTTAACGCACTGCTGAAATACAGAATGTTCTTAAATTACCATGCAATGTGTCTTTAATAATTAATTACTCAATAGTTATTATTCCCTCTGAATAATTTCAAGGAGATGCCAGAGTGTTTTGGAGGCAAAATTAGTAAAAATTAGATTGCAGATGGATCTGACCATGTGCACCAAAATATCCAGATGGTGCTCAATAATCCTTATTCTGATTTGGGGTAATTCTTGTTTTTTGTTTGTTTGTTTGTTTGGTTTTGTTTGTTTGTTTTTAGGGGAAGTGGGAGACTTTGACTATTCTTAGAGGAGCAAGGAGGTGAATAGTGTAGGGCTCTCATGCCGTTCACAGCAGGGAGTGTAAGAATGGTTCATCAGGTTTTGTTCCAGTTGTCCCTGGGCACTAGCTTCAGATTTGTCTTCATGGTGACCACAGAGGAACCTCTCCTTTTCATGGCCCCCTTGCTGCTGGTCAGAAATATCACTGCCTCAGTGAATCTGGCTACCTGTGTGAAAATTAAGGAAGCTTACATATTTTTTTTAATTTTTTTAAACTTTATTCATTTATTTATTTTAATTTGACCAGAAAGGGACAGAGACAGAGAGGGAGAGAAAGTGAGAAAGCAAGCCATCAGGTCCAGGACCCAAACTGCAGTCAGCCATGTGGGAGTCTAGCACATTTATCCACCATGCCACCTGCTAGCCCTGGAAGCTTACATTTTAATTTACATGTATGGAAAATTAGGACCTTTATGCAAGAAAGGAGACCAAAGCCCCTCCTCCCAGGCATAGAGCAGGCATCCTGTATTAGAAAAGCTAAATAGTGTCAGGAATTCTCAGAAGAGGATGAGGAATGACTGTGCTATACTGTACTATACTGAGATTACAGATACAATGTGCACTAGGGGCCAGCAGGTGGCAGAGTGGTTTAAGTGTCGAATTACCTCATGACCTACTATGGTTCAAGTCTCATACCTAGCAGCTTGAAACTCAGGCTGGGCACGTGTCCAAAATCCTGAGAGGAGAATGGAGAAGGGTTTGCTGTGTGGCCATCCTCACTGGGGGTGATTACTCACTTTCTCTCTCTCTGTCATCTCTGGGTCTCCAGCAAGTCCTATAGTAAAAGAAAGAAAGAAGGAAAGGAAAGGAAAGGAAAGGAAAGGAAAGGAAAGGAAAGGAAAGGAAAGGAAAGGAAAGGAAAGGAAAGGAAAGGAAAGGAATAGTGAGCATTGCTTAGTATGACAGATGGTCAAAATAAAATAAATAATGTTAAAATAATTCTTTTAAAAGAAAAAGAAAGATACATGGTTTAGAGATTGTGTATGACCTTGAATTGGAAAAATATGGAAGGTGGTAACAAATCAGGCTTGCTCCTTAAGAAAGAGGTCAGTCAGTCCTGCTAGATGAGAAATGATAAACTGGACCAGAGTTGAGTAGGTAAGTATGGTTGACAGCTAAGTATGTGACTACGTTGGAGTCCAGAGCGGTCTTGCAGTGTGTGGGAGGAGGGCAGCAGGACCCCCAACTGTACATGTGAACAGCTGTTAAGAAGACCGGGCCTCTTCAGCTGGGAGGCAGTATCATCACTGTGTTCAGGTATTTGAAGCGCTGTCAGGTGTGAAACAGAAGCATTGTGTTCTGTATGAACATAGGGACCTCCACAAATGTGCAGAAGCTGGAAGTAGCCAGACTTCAGCTAGAAATGTTGGAAGGGCTTTTCTGTAATCCATGTTCTTACGGAATTGCCTCCCTCAAGAGGAGTGAGATGTCTGTCAATAAGTGTCTAGAAACAGTGATCAGATAGTCTGTTATGATTCAGATTAAGTGATTTTTAATTTTGACTCTCTGTTTTGATTTGTTTTCCTAATTATTTATTGAGCACTTATTACTTGCTAGACACTGTTCCAGACCATGGGAATATAGTAGTAGCAAAATCTGTTACGATTCTGCTGTGCTGTAGTTTACAGCATAGTAGGAGAAACAGATAGTTAAAAGAATTAATGAATAATGTAATTTCCTAGGAAGAAAATCCAGTGAGAGTAGTGTAAGAGCAGGTAACTGGGGAAGCTACCTTAGCTTACATAGTACCTGAGTGAGCACCGGGTAGTGAAAAGGTCCAGAGAAAGCACATTTCCGGTGGAGGGATGAGCCAATTTGAAAATCAGGCTGGGTGTGCCCAAAATCCCAACAGGAGACTGGAGGAGAAGGAATTGTGGCCTGGCCATCCTCCCCGGGGATGATCTCCTAAAGCAGCCCAAAAGTTGAGTGTTTAAAACATAGGGGGAAAAGTAAAGGCCACTGTGGACTGGAGAGTGGCCTGAGGCAAGAGTGGCAAGAGATGAAATCAGAGAGGAGATTGTGTGGGGAGCTTAGATTTCATTCTAAAAGGGACTGGAAGTCACTGGAAGCTTTAAAAGAGGCACAATCAGGGACCAGCAGTTAGTGTAATAGCTATGTCGCTGGACTCCCATGTAGTTGACCGTGGTTCGCGTCCTGGACCTAGTGGCTTAAAACTCACACCAGGTGTGTGTGCCTGTGTGCCCATGATCCCGAGAGGAGAATGGAGGAGAAGGGATTGCGGCGTGGCCATCCCCCCTGGGGGGCGATTTCTCGCTTTCTGTCTCTCTGTCTCTCTCTGTCTGTGGCGAGCGCACGCACCCTATAGCAAAAACTCTCCAAAAAAAAGAGGCACGAGCAGATCAGTACTTTGAACAAATTAATTTGTGTATTGCTTAGATAGGGCTCAGCAGGTAGTGTGGTGGTTAAGGTGCTGGCCTAACACATGGCTGACTGTGGTTCTATTGCCGGACTTGGTGGCTTGCTTTCTCACTTCCTCTCTCTTTCTCTGGTGAGTGCATGTGCCCTGTAGCAAAATTTTAAAAAATGGTCATGATTAAAGCAATGAAATAATTCTTTAAGAAAGGAAAATACATTGCAAGAATAGCAGAGTGATATACTGGTCATCTAGTGGAATGGGAGGGAGGTGTTGGCATGTTGGGGTGGTAGCAGTGGGAATTCAGAGAAGCAGCAGGTGTGTTTTAGAGGCAGCAGGATGTGCTGATGAATTTGGGTGTGGCTGGGTAGGAAAGAAAGGGTCAAGGATGTTTGTGTAGTATTTGCATCAAGCTACTGAGGGTTGGTGGCAAGTGTGCTACTGAGATGGGAACACCAAAGTTCAGGACAAACAGGGATTTTGTTTTGGTCAAATAGATCTCTAGATGTCTTTTCAGCATCTTAAGTGGAGATATCAAACATCTACAGATACGAATTTGTAGTTCAGGTTGTCACAAGAGCGTATAGGGTATTTAAAACCATAGGCCTAAAATAATCACAGAACAATGAGTAGCATTAAGAAAGGGACAGGAGCATTAAAGATCGCTGAAGCCAGGAAGGCAGGGAGAAAGCAACATAAAGAATATGAGGAGGAATGACAGGTCAGGAAAACATCAAGATATAGTAGAGTTCTAGAAATCTAAAAATGAATGTTTCATGAACTGTTGAAGTGTTTTCTGATACTGTGGGGAAGCTGAGGAAGATAAAAATCAGACAATCAGATTTAGCTAGCAATGACTTCAAAAAGAGTAGTTTCGTGTTTGTCCTGCAAGTGTA